CCAAGCCTCTCACCCTCCCCCTCTCCTTCCCGGGATAAATCGTATTTTGTCCCCCCCCCCCCCGAGGTTTAATCTGCTAATATTTTGTCCCCCCCCCCCGAGGTTTAATCTGCTAATATTTTGTGTCCCCCCCCCCCCAAGGTTTAATCTGCTAATATTTTGTGTCCCCCCCCCCCCCCAAGGTTTAATCTGCTAATATTTTGTGTCCCCCCCCCAGGTTTAATCTGCTAATATTTTGTCTCCCCCCCGAGGTTTAATCTGCTAATATTTTATCCCCCCCCCCCAAAGTTTAAGCTGCCAATATTTTGTCCCCCCCCCCGAGGTTTAATCTGCTAATATTTTGTCCCCCCCCCCGAGGTTTAATCTGCTAATATTTTGTCCCGTTCCCCCCCCCCGAGGTTTAATCTGCTAATATTTTGTCCCCCCCCCCACCCGAGGTTTAATCTGCTAATATTTTGTCCCCCCCCCCCCCCCCGAGGTTTAATCTGCTAATATTTTGTCCCCCCCCCATCAACATGATAATGACATTTTTAAATAAATTATTCACACCAATGTCATAACTGGGTCTCTGTGCTTCTCTATGCAATGCAGGCAGGCTCAGGGCCGGGTGTAGCTTCCTGAAAACATCACAGCACCCAGCCTCAGTACTCAGCCTCAGGGGGAGGAGTTACGCAAATATCAAAATGACTTTCATTTCTCATTTGGTGCCAAAACAAAAAAAAATTAAAATAAAACCACCGAGAGTCCGAAGTCTTATATTTCTGGTTTTCATTTAGTAGACGGTCAGCACGTTTCGGGGGTTCCAGGATCTCCCCCACTTCAGGGCTGCAGAAAAACGGTTCCAGGAACACGCAATACTCCATGAATCTACCCCCACTAGATGGCGCTGCTGAGTATAGGAAATAAGTCCCTCCTGGTGACAGGAGATACAATGGAACACATTCCAGAGAAGGCTGGAGGGACCGTCTGCATTGATGTGCCGGTCTCCTCTGACATTCTCTAGTATAGTGACGTTGGAGGAGATTTACTCAAACCTGAGTCCTCGGAATCTGGTGCATCCGTGCACAGCAGCCAATCAGCTTCTAACACCAGCCTGTCCAATGAAGCTTTGACAATAAATCCTGGAAGCTGATTGGTGACCGCCAGAGAGCGGCGCTATTGCGCTCTGTACTATTACACAGTGAATGCCGGGTGTTGTGGTCGGGGGGGGCGGGGCCATGACAACCCGCACTCACACTATGTCCTCAGTCCTCTGGGGTTCCTTCCACCCGGAACACTGAGGACATCTCTGGTGAGGAGAGAGAACTGCACCTTCCGGGGATGGGGATTTACAGAGAATGGAAGTCTTCGCCTGGAGTTGGGCACAAAGTAAACAATGTATTATACAGGACAGTAACAATGTATCATACAGGACGGTAACAATGTATCATACGGGACGGTAACAATGTATCATACAGGACAGTAACAATGTATCATACGGGACGGTAACAATGTATCATACAGGACGGTAACAATGTATTATACAGGACGGTAACAATGTATTATACAGGACAGTAACAATGTATCATACGGGACGGTAACAATGTATCATACAGGACAGTAACAATGTATTCATACAGGGACGGTAACAATGTATCATACAGGACGGTAACAATGTATTATACAGGACGGTAACAATGTATTATACAGGACAGTAACAATGTATCATACGGGACGGTAACAATGTATCATACGGGTACGGTAACAATGTATCATACAGGACGGTAACAATGTATTATACAGGACGGTAACAATGTATCATACGGGACGGTAACAATGTATTATACAGGACGGTAACAATGTATCATACGGGACGGTAACAATGTATCATACAGGACAGTAACAATGTATTAAATTATATTACAAAACTACAGGAGATGACCAGAGACTGCAGTACAGTACAGGAGATGACCAGAGACTGCAGACATAGTACAGGAGATGACCGGAGACTGCGGACACAGTACAGGGGATGACCAAGAGACTGCGGACATAGTACAGGAGATGACCGGAGACTGCGGACACGGTACAGGAGATGACCAGAGACTGCGGACACAGTACAGGAGATGACCAGAGACTGCGGACATAGTACAGGAGATGACCAGAGACTGCGGACACAGTACAGGAGATGACCAAGAGACTGCGGACACGGTACAGGAGATGACCAGAGACTGCGGACACGGTACAGGAGATGACCGGAGACTGCAGACACAGTACAGGAGATGACCAGAGACTGCGGACACAGTACAGGAGATGACCAGAGACTGCAGACAGTGCAGGGAATGACCAGAGACTGCGGACACAGTACAGGAGATGACCAGAGACTGCAGACACAGTACAGGAGATGACCAGAGACTGCGGACACAGTACAGGGATGACCAGAGACTGCGGACACGGTACAGGAGATGACCAGAGACTGCGGACACGTACAGGAGACGACCAGAGACTGCGGACACAGGTACAGGGAGACGACCGGAGACCTGGACACGGTACAGGAGATGACCGGAGACCGGACACGGTACAGGAGACGCGGACTGCGGACACGGTACAGGAGACGACCGGAGACTGCGGACACGGTACAGGAGACGACCGGAGACTGCGGACACGGTACAGGAGACGACCGGAGACTGCGGACACGGTACAGGAGACGACCGGAGACTGCGGACACGGTACAGGAGACGACCGGAGACTACGGACACGGTACAGGAGAAGACCAGAGACTGAGGACACGGTACAGGAGACGACCGGAGACTGCGAACACGGTACAGGAGACGACCGGAGACTGCGGACACGGTACAGGAGACGACCGGAGATTGCGGACACGGTACAGGAGACGACCGGAGACTGCGGACACGGTACAGGAGACGACCGGAGACTGCGGACACGGTACAGGAGACGACCGGAGATTGCGGACACGGTACAGGAGACGACCGGAGATTGCGGACACGGTACAGGAGACGACCGGAGACTGCGGACACGGTACAGGAGACGGTCAGAGACTGCGGACACGGTACAGGAGACGACCAGAGACTGCGGACACGGTACAGGAGACGGTCAGAGACTGCGGACGCAGTACAGGAGACGACCAGAGACTGCGGACACGGTACAAGAGACGACCAGAGACTGCGGACACAGTACAGGAGACGACCAGAGACTGCGGACACAGTACAGGAGATGTCAGGAATGGACTTGCCAGTAATGGTGGGACTCACCTGCCTTGTGGGCTGCAGTACCAGGGCTGGCCAGCGGGTGCTCCCAGCAATCAGAAACTCAACCCTGCAGCCAGCCAAACACCTGAAGCTGATTATGCAGGTGTATTTAAGTGATGGCCAGACCTGCAGTCTGTGCCTTGGTGTGTGTTTTTCCATGGGCCCTGTATCTTGTAACCTGCGTTCCTGCCTCTGCCTCTGCCTCTGCCTGACTTGTTGCCGACCCGCCTGATCCTGACCTCTGCTGACTTCTCCTGTTTTGATCCCTGGCTTGTGACCCCGACCATTCTCTCCGCCTGCTCCTCCTGTACCTACCTGCCCGATAGTTATCGACCCGGCCTGCCTGACTACGTTGTGCTCTATATGTGTATGTACCTGTGTATCTGTATCAGTCTAGGTTTGGGTTTGTTTCACCTTGTTGTATGTATTTGTGTTAGCTTGGGGTTTGGTGCACTGCGTTTATGTTTGTATTGTTAGTCTTTAATAAAAATATTTGTTTATAACATATCTGAAGCCTGCGTTTCCCTGCGTCAGTCACACACCTCTGGTCATACCCGGGAGGCCTGACATTACACCAAGGCCAATCCTGACCAGAAGTGGCTGCACAGGGAAGCCATCTTGGTTTGTTGATGGGAAGGATGGATCTGGATGAGGTTGTGTATTTATATCTGCTAGTGTTTGATGACAGGGAGTATGCTTATCAAACTCTGAAGGAGTATCCCCGGGATGAACTACTAGAATGTATACGGATCGCTCATGTTCTAGTAGATCAGGGCACAGAGTTCTCTGAGGTGCAGCCATTGATTGAGGTTTGTGCTGAGTTGGCTTCATCTGGTACCCCTGAAAGCAGGAATGACTTTTTGCCGCCATTTAGTGCCGACCAGGTAGAGTCCCTGGTGTGGTTATTAGAGGATGATGTGGGTTACTTCTTGGAGCGTTATGCTGCATGTTCACCACAGACACTAAGAGATTGTATAAACGCAGTGCAGTCATTGGTCAGACAGGCTTTGTGTAAGCTGAGTTTTGTACAACCCATACTGCAGACATGGACAGACTTGTTGCACCCAGCCTCAGTCAGCTTGCAACGTCATTCCTCCGCTCAAGGCACTCTTCCTGCATCCCCGACAGCACCCCCAGTGACTGCCCAGTATACTCTGCTAACTACCACATACAGTCCTCTGCTCCCACTCGCTGCACCTATCCTTTCTTTGGCCCTGTGGAGAGGTCCTCTGTGGCGGCTGCTCCCTCCTCTGTTCTATCCTCCAGCTCTCCTCTGTCCTCAGCTGCTCCATTCGTTTGCAGACCTGCGTTTACTTGCAGTGCTCCAGTAGTTAAAACCAGAAAAAAGCGAAAATTCTTTCCAACCAGTACCATCCTGCCAGTATCCAATCCGGTGAGCCTGCCGTCTGAGCACCTGCCTTCCTGGTTCAGCCTGGTGCCTCGGCACCCGCACTTCAGCCTGATGTCTGTACCCAGCCTGATGTCTGTACCCAGCCTGATGATCCTATCACGCCTGATGACCCAGTGCCCGCTGTCGAGCCAGACGATCCAACGCCAGATGACCTGGTGTCCGCTGTCGATCCAGACGATCTGGTACCTGATGACCCGATGCCCGCTGTTGAGCCAGACGATCCAGCGCCAGATGACCCGGTGCCTGCTGTCGAGCTAGACGATCCAATGTCTGACCCAGTGCCCGCGGTCATGCCAGTTGACTTGCAGCCCACTGTCGTGCCTGGTGACTCGGTGCCCACTGCCTTGCCAGATAACGCGGTGCCCACTGTTGAGCCAAATGCCTGATGACCCGATGCCCGCTGTCGATCCAGACCCGATGACCCAGTGCCCGCTGTCATGCCTGGTGACCCGATGCCCGCTGTCGAGCCAGACGATCCAATGCCTGATGACCCAGTGCCCGCTGTCATGCCTGGTGACCCGATGTCCGCTGTCGAGCCAGACGATCCAGCGCCAGATGACCCGGTGCCTGCTGTCGAGCCAGACGATCCGGTACCTGATGACCCGGTGCCCGCTGTCGTGCCAATTGACTCAGAGCCCACTGTCATGCCTGGTGACTCGGTGCCCACTGCCTTGCCAGATGACGCGGTGCCCGCTGTCGAGCCAAATGACCTGATGCCTGGTGACCCAATGCCCGCTGTCGAGCCAGACGATCCAATGTCTGACCCAGTGCCCGCGGTCATGCCAGTTGACTCGGAGCCCACTGTCGTGCCTGGTGACTCGGTGCCCACTGCCTTGCCAGATGACGCGGTGCCCGCTGGCGAGCCAAATGACCTGATGCCTGGTGACCCAGTGCCCGCTGTCATACCTGGTGACCCGATGTCCCGCTGTCGAGCCAGACGATCCAATGCCTGATGACCCAGTGCCCGCTGTCATGCCTGGTGACCCGATGCCCGCTGTCGAGCCAGACGATCCAGCGCCAGATGACCCGGTGCCTGCTGTCGAGCCAGACGATCCGGTACCTGATGACCCGGTGTCCGCTGTCGTGCCAATTGACTCGCAGCCCACTGTCGTGCCTGGTGACTCGGTGCCCACTGCCTTGCCAGATGACGCGGTGCCCGCTGTCGAGCCAAATGACCTGATGCCTGGTGACCCGATGCCCGCTGTCGAGCCAGACGATCCAATGTCTGACCCAGTGCCCGCGGTCATGCCAGTTGACTTGGAACCCACTGTCGTGCCTGGTGACTCGGTGCCCACTGCCTTGCCAGATGACGCGGTGCCCGTTTGTATTGTTAGTCTTAATAAATTGTCTGATTTATACCATATCTGAAGCCTGCGTTTCCCTGCGTCAGTCCACACACTTCTGGTCACACCCCCATCCCTGACAGGAGATGACCAGAGACTGCGGACATAGTACAGGAGATGACAGAGACTGCGGATGTTACAGGAGATGACAGAGACTGCGGACTTATTATAGGCGATGATCAGAGACCATGTACCTATGATCATGTCTGCAAGGGTTCTGAGGGCCACACAATAAGTTCCGAAGGGCCACATGCGGCCCCTGTGCCATAGGTTGGGTACCAGCAGTGTAAGGACTGACAGAAGACGACTGGATATTCATCAGTGTGGCGTCCTTCATCCTCCTCCATACATCACAGTCTCCATATTGGACAACTGTTGCACGGCGAGCCTCATTTCACCCAATCATCCGCTGATTTGAGCGTGGGGCAGGCGGTGGGGGGGGGGGGGGGGGGCAGGCGTGGGGGCAGGGGGGGGGGGCAGGCAGGGGGGCAGGTGGGGACGGTGGGGGGGGGCAGGGGTGTTCTTCAATGTCAACCAACACCTTTAATGAAAAGCAGAGAATAATATTTAGTTTTGGAGGCGCTCTCGGCCCGCCGCGCCGCCCTGACATTGAGGAATGGCCTCCCCGTGGCGCGCAGTACCGCCGTGTCAAACCTTTCCAGTCGCTCGCCTTACAAATTGCGGAGAACACCTTATTTAGGTGGGAAGAATGGCCGCCATTAATCTTCATACGGGACTTGAGAACGGCGTGAGTGCGAGGATTAATTTATTAGCTGTCTTCAAGGTAGACTGAGCTCTGCTCCGGGAAGGCGAAGGCCAATCATGATTTTGTTAAGATGCTCATTCCTCGGAAAATTACTCGGTTCCGTGTCCTTGGTCGGGGGTTGTGTTCTCTGCATATCTTAACCGACTCTTCCCGGCAGACGGGGTCACAAAAAGGAGGCGTCGGCGTTCATCCCGAGTGCCAGCAATTAAAGTGCCACTTCGGGTTTTACTAACCGGGGAATGGAAAGTATAGAGGACTACACATGTGATATTCTGATTGGACAATGTCTGTGCAGCATCTGTGAGGAGCGCGGGGTCTACTATGGAGGTATGACTACTCTTCAAACTAGGGGTGGACTGACAACTCATGGGGCTCCCCGGCAATAGGGGATCATGGGGCCCCTCTGTCCTCACTCACACTCAAACCACACCCAAAAAAGCCTATGAAAGGTACCAGGGGCATCTCATGGGGCCCCCTACTGACCCTGGGCCCTCAGGCAGTGCCCGAGTTCCCAAATGGTCAGTCCGTCCCTGCTTCAAACCATCAACCACCAAGATGAAGAAATCCTTCTGCATGACCTCCTTTGTGCTGGGCTGGATTTAGACACTGCTCTGCCTAGGCACACTTGAAGGATGAGACCCTTGAATGCCAGTTCCATCATCCATGCCATGTGATTAGTAAAACCTGAGAATGCACCATGGGAGGAGCATGTGGTCTTCTGTGAGGCTATTCTTCAAACAGGCCACCAAAAAGAAGACATTCTTCTACAGGGCCTTCTTTGTGCACGGCTGGATTTGGATACTGCGCTGCCTAGGCACACTTGAAGAATGAGACCCTTCAAACCATCAACCACCAAGATGAAGAAATCCTTCTGCATGACCTCCTTTGTGCAGGGCTGGATTTGGATACTGCGCTGCCTAGGCACACTTGAAGGATGAGACCCTTGAATGCCAGTTCTACCCCCATGTAAAACCTAAGAATGCACCATAGGAGGAACATGTGGTCTTCTGTGAAGCTACTCTTCAAACAGGCCACCAAAAAGAAGACATTCTTCTACAGGGCCTTCTTTGGGCAGGGACGGATTTGGATACTGTGCTGCCTAGGCACACTTGAAGGATGAGACCCTTGAATGCCAGTCCCATCATCCATGCCATGTGATTAGTAAAACCTGAGACTGCACCATGGGAGGAGCATGTGGTCTTCCATGAGGCTACTCTTCAAACAGACCACCAAAAGGAAGAAATTCTTCCACAAGGCCTTCTTTGCGCAGGGCCGGATTTGGACACTGCGCTGCCTAGGCACACTTAAACGATGAGAGCCTTTTATACAAGTGATGATGTCATCTTTACTTTACAATGGAATATCTAGGTTTGCACAGGTGGTGCACACAAAGTAGATTGATGTCCTTAACGAATATATAAACATTTTTGTGCCCGGGGGTCCAGCTTTACAAAAAATACAAAAAAGAAAAAGTTATTTTGTGTTCCAGATATTATCATCCTTGAAGTGTGAGCAGGTCGTCCTTGTCATCTGCCCCGCCATACTTGCGCTCGTCCTTCGCTGTCAGAGCTCGGGAGGGGGCGACAGTCTGGATGACACCATCGTGTTCGCTGCCCAGACATCTGTCAGTGCAATATTGGTTTTGGTCCCCGAAGCAGAAACAATTGACCAAGGTCAGCTATGGGGGATCTCATTGGCATTCAGGCGGCGAAGAGCGTCCACTTGGCACGGCGATGGAAAACCTTTCATCTCCATGCCAGGGATTGGCAGAGCGGTGATTTCCCTGTCAGGCTGTCTCAGGTTATGCGTTGTGTTCACCACCAACCAACCCCCAACTGTCTTCTTACAGCCGCAAGCAGCGACCGGCCTACCACCGCCATGTATGGAGAAGAGCTTTGCTGTTCTGGTTAGGGGGAGGTGGGGGAGGGGGGGTGGATTTTTGGAAATGCTAATCAAGAACATTCTGTCCCTTTTATATAACCGTATGAGGTACAGAACTCTAACTAATCCCCTAAATTTCAAAAAACCCATTAATATATGACTTCCAAAAATAACATGTCTACAAAAATACATTTTCCATTGTAAACCAACGTTTTTCACGGATCTTTTAGGTTACTTTCAGGTGCAGTAAAGCAAGGATGCTGCAACCTCGGTAGTATATTAATGTGCTTTTACTAGATAATAATGCTGCACATACAAACTATATACAATGGTAGGAAAACAATACAAGACATACGGAGTGCTACAGCAATGCACGCGCCACACATGCGCAGGCTACCTAACCTCAGAAGAAATAGAGCCTTGGCAACAGTCTGCATGTGATGGCCAAACACCGAAAAGCTTGGGTTGGAGTTTGTGATTTCCATAACAACACGACTCAAGTGGTTGCAGGTAACTGGGTTCCCTTGTAGTGTAGATTTTCTTAATCTTCTCCTTAGGTCTTATAAAGTCCCCTCTGGCACACACCTTCTTTTGTGTTGTGGGGCTTTCTTCCTTCTTCACAGGTCTTCTCAGTGTTGTGGAGCCCCCTTCCTTTTACACAAGGCTTCTCATTGGTATAGAGCCTCCTTCCTTCTACCCAGGTATTCTTCTTCTTATGGAGTCTCTTCCTTCTACCCAGGTCTTTATGGTGTTATGGAGCCTCATTTCTTCTACCCAGGTATTCTTCTTCCTATAGCGCCTTCTTCCTTCTACCCAGGTCTTCTTGTTATGGAGCCCTTCCTGGCACAGATGTTCCTTAGTGTTATTGAGCCCCTTTCCATCTCCCCGGGTCTACTTCTTAGGGGGCCTCCTCCCTTGTACCCAGGTCTTCTTTTTTATAGAGCATCTTCCTTCTACCCAGTTCTTCTTCTTCTTTTTCTGCCTCCTCGCTTGTACTCAGGTCTTCTTCTTCTTATGGAGCCTCCTTCCTTCTACCCAGGTCATCTTCTTCTTCAGCCTCCTTCCTTCTACCCAGGTATTCTTCTTCTTATGGAGTCTCTTCCTTCTACCCAGGTCTTTATGGTGTTATGGAGCCTCATTTCTTCTACCTAGGTATTCTTCTTCCTATGGAGCCTTCTTCCTTCTATACAGGTCTTCTTCTTCTTATGGAGCCTCCTCCCTTCTACCCAAGTCTTCTTCTTCTTATGGAACCTCATTCCTTATACCCAGGTCTTTGTAGTGTTATGGAGCCTCATTTCTTCTGCCCAGGTCTTCTTCTTTATATGGAGCCTCCCTCCTTATACCCAGGTCTTTATGGTGTTATAGAGCCTCATGTCTTCTACCCAGGTCTTCTTCTTCTTATGGAGTCTTTTCCTTCTATCGAGGTCTTTATGGTGTTATGAAGCCTCATTTCTTCTTCTCAGGTCTTCTTCTTGCTATGGAGCCTCCTTCCTTTTACCCAGGTCTTCTTCTTGTTATGGAGCCTCCTCCCTTCTACACAGGTCTTCTTATTATTATCAAGCCTCCTTCCTTCTACCCAGGTCTTTATGATGTTATGGAGCCTCATTTTGTCTACCTAGGTCTTCTTATTCCTATAGAGCCTCCTCCCTTCTACCCAGGCCTTCTTCTTCTTATGGAGCCTTCCTCCCTTCTATGCAGGTCTTCTTTTTCTTCTTATGGAGCCTCTTCCTTCTACTAAGGTCTTTATGATGTTATGGAGCCTTGTTTCTTCTACCTAGGTCTTCTTCTTCCTATGGAGCCTCTTCCCTTCTACACAGTTCTTCTTCATCCTATGGAGCCTCCTCCCTTCTACCCAGGTCTTCCTTTTCTTATGGAACCTTCTTCCTTCTACCCAGGTCTTCTTCTTCTTCTTCTTATGGAGTCTCTTTCTTCTACCCAGGTGTTTATGGTGTTATGGAGCCTCATTTCTTCCACCTAAGTCTTCTTCTTCCTATGGAGCCTCCTTCCTTATACTTACCTGCTTTGTAATGGTTTTGCACAGAGCAACCCTGGTCCTTCGCTTTTGGGGTCCCCCCACCGACACTCCCTGCTCCCCCCCTATCACTAAAGTACATGTCACAGTCCACATTCAGCCCTTTATTAATATCAAATAAAATATATGTGAACATTTTGGTTTTACTTCATACCTGACACCTTGTATCTGAAGTGACCGTTCATCACAAAATGCATCATTGGTGTTATCTCAAAATTCTTTGTACAATGAAAGAAACACGTTCCAGATTTCTCTTCCAAAAACTTGAACTAGAGAGTGGAACTAACCTCTCTCAATCAACATTACCTGTTTTTAATCCCTATGCTGCTAACATTAGTAAATAGGAAAGTACAGTATATTATATTGACTTCTTTTTTTTTTTACATTTCTTCAGTTACTTCCTGGTTTCTGGCCTAGCCTAGTGATGTCATACATCCCAGGAGTCTTCAAGAGGGAAAGAAGGGCTTTTTCAGCTAATCACACCCTCCTGACTGTATGCCCCAGCTAAGGGCAGATGGATTCCAGGAAGTAAATGCTACATGAATCATCTGCCCTTACGCAACCATGACCATGGCTGGAAATGCTAAGAAGGGATTTTGCAAAGTGATTTCTCAGCAAAATAAAGAATGGAGACATGGATGGATGGAGACATGGATGGATGGGGGAGCTTGCTTTGAATACTACAAGTGAAGCATTTCCACTTTAAAGTTCCAGAAAGCTTGGGTCCTTTTCTTCTTTGAACCTTCTCAAGTGGCCCTCGATGTGCCTCTCTGCACCATCACCCTCTGAGCATAGTGTGCTATGGTGACCAGGGGCGGACTGACCATTCGATCACTTGGGCACTGCCCGAGGGCCCGGGGTCATTAGGGGGCCCCATGAAATGCCCGGTACCTTTTTTATAGGCTTTTTTTGGGTGTGCTTTGAGTGTGGGCAAGGACACAGGGGCCCCATGATCCCCTATTGCCCGGGGGCCCCATGAGTTGTCAGTCCGCCCCTGATGGTGACAACTACTTTACGCGGGTGGGTCCACAATGCTGTTCACTCACAGCATGTTCCCAGTCTTCCAAGTTGAATGACACCGATCGTCATCCAACCCAGAATACTGAGGACATCTTGGGGTGGAGAAGAGGTAAAGCGGGTGACCTCACTGAAGAGGAGGCAAGTAGTGCTGCCAGAGCTGGCTTTTTTGTTTTTACCCCTTTTAGGGGGGAGGGAATTTTTTTAAATACCTGGAGGCTGGGCTTTGGTCTCTGATGAAGGGTGTCTTAATAACACTGAAATGTGTCGGCTCGTCTCTGAAAAGTCTGATTCATGAAAAAATATGTTTGGAATTTGGCCATTGACTTGATATTCTCTGACCTCCAAATTGCACATTTTTACTGCTATAAGTTCCTTACTATCTTGTAAGCTGTATAAGCAGGTCTTTTTTTCAGTGGGAACCAGGGGCGGACTGACAACTCATGGGGCCCCCCGGCAATAGGGGATCATTGGGCCCCTGTATCCTCACCGACACTCAAACCAAAAAAAAAGCCTATGAAAGGTACTAGGGGCATCTCATGGGGCCCCCTACGGACCCTGGGCCCTAGTGTGTACGAATGGTCAGTCCGCCCCTGGTGGGAACGCGGGGGGAGGAACACAGTTCCGGCACCTTCAGCACTGGGTGTGTGTAATGGCAAGGGGTGCTGGGGTGTGCTGGAGAGTCTAATGATGTTGGCTGCTGAGGGATCTATTACTGATGGAAAATATTTATTTTTGTGGAAGGCAGTCTATTGTTGCCGGTGGGGGATCTATTGTTGCCGGGGATGGGTTTTATGTTGTGGGTGGTCAGTTGTTGCTAGGAAGGATCTATTGTTGCTGGAGAGGTATTTTGTTCTGGCGGGGGTCTATTGTTGGTGGGAAGGTCTACTGTTGCTGGGGGGATCTATTGTTGCTGGAGAGGTATTTTGTTCTGGAGGGGGTCTATTGTTGGTGGGAAGGTCTACTGTTGCTGGGGGGGATCTATTGTTGCCGGGGATGGGTTTTATGTTTCTGGGTGGTCAGTTGTTGCTAGGAAGGATCTATTGTTGCTGGAGAGGTATTTTGTTCTGGAGGGGGTCTATTGTTGGTGGGAAGGTCTACTGTTGCTGGAGGGGGGAATCTATTCTCGCTGGCTGCTTTTCTTGCTATCATTACCAAATTTCATACCAATTGTTTAGCACCACAAAATGATACCTGGGTCTGTATTCTAGAAAAGGGGCAGTAATAGGAGGTGGGGGGTTGAACCAAGGAACGGTGTTTGGAGGTGGGTAGGGGGCGGAGACAAGACGTTACTCAGAAGTGGTGAGTTCCTGCACCTATTCTGAGAAAAAAAGCCCTGCATATAGGGGGTATTGTTGACCAGGGCCATCTTAATGAATGGGCACCCCTGGGCAATGTCCAGGGGCCCCAAGTGCATGGGGCCCCATGATAACCTTGCATTACATCATATTTTCCGGCTGTCCCGGATTTGCTGGGACAGTCATGCTTTTTATTAAGCTGTCCCGGGTTCCCCGTGTCCCAGGCAGCGTACTGTGCACTCCTGATGCTGTTTTGTGCCCTCCTGATCCCCCCTCCCTGTACTGAGCCCTTCTGCCTCCCCCCATACTCTACCCTTGTTTATTCTTCGACTTATGACATGTTTTCTTATTGTTTAAAATCGATTTGTATAGAAAGTACAAATAAATATGTTTCATTCTGTTAGCTGTCTAAAAGGAGGAGGTCTGTAAAGTGGGGCAGGCTGGTAGGGGCATTGCTTTGCCCAGGGGCCCATGATGCTATTAAACCCCCCTGGCGGTATTCCTGAGTGTAGCTCGGGGTAAAGTTTCAGCACCACAAGTGGTAACCCCCCCCCCCCCCCCCCCCAAGCTACACTCGGGAATACCCTGCGGCGTTGCTCCAGGATCTGTTCTTCTCTTACCTTGTCATGCGCTCCCCGCGATGTCCCTCCTGCAGTGTCCCCTGTAATGTCCTCCGGCCGATGCCGGCGTCCGTCTTCCGGGTTCCGTTCCCTGCGACGTCGGGACGTACGGGGGACGGAACTGGCGGGAAATTTGAAAATGACAAAAAGTGATATTCACTAAATACACTAAAATCACATCGTATAACATTCCTGTATCAAACCATTTCACATACATGTTGTCCCGAGTGCTTTGTCCGGCGCCCTGCCTGCATTTTTACCACCCTTTCTGCCTGGAAACTGAGAAACGTCCATGGCGTCCAAAAAGCGTCCCTTTAGGTCAGACGCGGTTTTAGACCGGCTAGAGAACAGCGATAGTAAATCAGAACCACTTGCAGAATTGAGTGATAATGATTGGTGGGGGAAATTCCTCATCAGACACTGAAAACGATTCTGCGACTGAGCTCAGCGATGTGCCAACTTGGCGCTATATTTCACATTTCAGTGTTTTTGGTGATTATATTATTGAATTACATTTATTATTATTATATTATTATTTTTTGTGATTATTTATTATATTATAATTTATGATTTCGTGTTTCACATTTTATCCTCCCCGGGATGTTTACTAGACTCTTGTGGGACAGATTTCAGTGAATTATTCCTAAAAAGTACAGGCCTGGAATAAAAAAAAATACATATTTCCATGCAAAAAAAAATGTACCGCTTTGAGCACAGAAATCCTGACATAATCAGACCGCCAGGGAGGTTAAAGGATTCTTCTGTTTTTATGTGAATTTGTGTATTTTTCTTCTGTTTGGTGGGAATGTACAGTATAAGGGGTACCAACACACTTGTCTTCATTCCCCTGGGAGTGGCGGATGTATAATAACTTCTTATAATAAAGGGGGCTTCCGGATTCGACCATAAATCCCCCTTCTATTACCCCCCCCCCCCACTTATTTATACACCTCCCATCTGGGGGACACAAAGGTGGGGAAGAGGCCCTTGTCCCTCAAAATTGGGATAAGGAGGGTGGAGGGGGTGGGGTGTCTGCTTGCCCCATGGCCTGGTATGGTACAGGAGGGGGGCAGGGGGCACATTCTCACCGCCCTTCTTTTCCTGACTACCCAGGCTGCATGTCTTGATATGATCTGGTTGTCATTGGATACACAGAATATAAGCGATGGGCGGACTTGGCGCTCTATTTCACATTTCAGTGTTTTTGGTTTGATTATATTATTGAATTACATTTATTATTATTATATTATTATTTTTTATGATTATTTATTAAATTATAATTTATGATTTCGTGTTTCAAGTTTTATCCTCCCCGGGATGGTTACTAGACTCTTGTCCGGACAGATTTCAGGGAGTTATTCCTAAGAATTACAGGCCGACAATAAAAAACTACATATTTCCATGCAAAAAAATGTACCGCTTTGAGCACAGAAATACTGACATCATCAGACCGCTAGGGAGGTTAAAGGATTTTTCTGTTATTATGTGAATTTGTGTATTTTTCTTCTGTTTGGTGGGAATGTACAGTATAAGGGGTACCAACACACTTGTCTTCATTCCCCTGGGAGTGGCAGATGTCTAATAACTTCTTATAATTAAGGAGGCTTCCGGATTCGACCATAAATCCCCCCTTCTATTACCCCCCCCCTCACCTCCCATCTGGGGGACACAAAGGTGGGGAAGAGGCCCTTGTCCCTCAAGATTGGGATAAGGAGGGTGGAGGGGGTGGGGTGTCTGCTTCCCCCATGGCCTGGTATGGTACAGGAGGGGGGCAGGGGGCACATTCTCACCGCCCTTCTTTTCCTGACTACCCAGGCTGCATGTCTTGATACGGATCTGGTTGTCATTGGATACACAGAATATAAGCGATGTGCGAACTTGGCGCTCTATTTCACATTTCAGTGTTTTTGGTTTGATTATATTATTGGATTACATTTATTATTATTATATTATTATTTTTTATGATTATTTATTAAATTATAATTTATGATTTTGTGTTTCACATTTTATCCTCCCCGGGATGTTTACTAGACTCTTAAATGTAAAAGATATAGTGAGCGCTTCTTGTATAACGGTAAAGATAAGCAGCTAAAAGCACTGAAAGGAGATCACAGCAGCCTCAAGTAAAAGTAGATAAATAAAGTGCAGCACTAAAAATAAGCAGAAAATTCGATCTAGAAAATTCAATCTAAAAAGTTCATTCTGAAATTGGTTATCAAAAGTTAATTTAATCAATGATATAGTAGATTGGACACAGCTTATGAGAAATCCGGAACAAATGGCAGAAATGCGCACTCACCGACCGCGCATAGGAAATGCGCATGTGTATATTAAATTCCACAGAGTATCGATCTCCCTCAGGAAGGGGTGTTCTCAAGCGTTGGTCAGCTGGGCTCACAGAACCTCCTAAGGATCGGGATGGATCGGCCGGATAAAGACTCCAGGTGAAGGCTTCCCTCCTCTGGATGAAGTTGGAAGCGGTGTCTGCTGACCCCAGCGAGGCAGCTAGAAAGAGAGTGACTCTATACGGAGAGGTCAGGAGTTGGCCGGCGGACCCTCACCATTCCTTCCATTGGGAACCCCTGAGACAAGGCGCGCACTCACTCTCTTTCTAGCTGCCTCGCTGGGGTCAGCAGACACCGCTTCCAACTTCATCCAGAGGAGGGAAGCCTTCACCTGGAGTCTTTATCCGGCCGATCCATCCCGATCCTTAGGAGGTTCTGTGAGCCCAGCTGACCAACGCTTGAGAACACCCCTTCCTGAGGGAGATCGATACTCTGTGGAATTTAATATACACATGCGCATTTCCTATGCGCGGTCGGTGAGTGCGCATTTCTGCCATTTGTTCCGGATTTCTCATAAGCTGTGTCCAATCTACTATATCGTTGATTAAATGAACTTTTTACTAGACTCTTGTTTGGACAGATTTCAGGGAGTTATTCCTAAAAATTACAGGCCTGCAATAAAAAAAATACAATTTCCATGCAAAAAAATGTACCGCTTTGAGCACAGAAATCGTGACATCATCAGACCGCTAGGGAGGTTAAGACGGCCCTATTGTTGACTAATGTCCAGTAATGTGAGGCTCGTATGATACAAATCAGAACACAAACGTATTTGCTGACCGTTTTCTGTCTTCTAGGCTGCGTAATGTAAGCTGGAGGTCCATGCTATGGATTAAGCTGAACTGATTGCTTGTCTCTTGCAGCTGCTGGCTGTCTCTGGAAGGAGGACTGCTCTACGCCTTCGTCGGACCGGCTGCCGCTGTTGTTTTGGTATTTTGTTTGATGAATCATAATTATACTTTTTTTTTTTTTTTAATTCCTTGAACATTTTGTCTTTCATTCTGATTCATTGAGAATTGTCTTTTTTGGAATACGGATTTGTCACGGTGGTGGCTCTCCTCGGAATCCGGCGAGGCTCAGCCTCCTAAACAACTAGGGGATTAATGATCTCACAGAACGCTAATCCTGCATTCTAAATCGCCGCCAATAATGATTTAGGGATTATGAATTCCGCTACCCGGCACCATAATCCGTATTTCTTAGAATAACAGTTTAACTTTCTGCAAGTTTAGTATCGGCACGGCGGAGGGCAGACGCCGCTCTTAGCTGTTCCTCTCAGTCCACCTCCTGGGGGTTACAATGAATTACTGCTACTTATATAACGATGTGGAATAGTGATGTCACCCACTGACAGCCACACACAGGTTTATTCTTTCTTTTTCCCGTTAGCATTGGAAAAAAAAATCACATCTGGTGTCTGATTGGTGGTTATGGGCACCATGGCCTTTGTCCTCCTCTATTGTACATACAAGTACTAATAGCAAAGCATGGCCACTGTGACTGATGGGCGGCATTGTTTCCATGACACCAGGAGTGACAATCATGTGAAAAAGTAAGCACACCCCATGAAAAGGGTTAATTTTGTCAACATATTTGAACTGGCGAGCCTTTGGTCTCCATTTGTCTACCGATCAGGGGCGGACTGACAACTCATGCGGCCTCCGGGCAATAGGGGATCATGGGGCCCGTGTCCTCGCCCACACTCAAACCATACCCAAAAAAGCCTATGAAAGGTACCAGGGGCATCTCATGGGGCCCCCTACTGACCCGGGGCCCTCGGGCAATGCCCGAGTTCCCAAATGGTCAGTCCGCCCCTGCTACCGATATACGTAGAGAATTTACACAAGTAAAACATAAAGAACACATAGTTAGTCTGGCTGAAAAAAGACAAAAGTCCATCCAGTTCAACCATTAACCCCTTGGCGCCGGCGCCTCCTGGCCCTTTAAGGGTTTCAGAAGCCGGAAGGCGGGGCGGGGTTTAGGGTCATGTGACCGCCATGACATGCCGTCACGGCGATCACATGATCGGGAAAGGTCCCGATCGAAAGAGGAGACCGGGACGTTTCCGTGAGTATCGGACATGTGTGCTCGGAGCGTGCAGGGAGTGTGCAGGGCGCGTGCAGGGAGTGTGCAGGGCGCGTTCAGGGAGAGTGCAGGGCGCGTGCAGGGCGCGTGCAGGGAGTGTGCAGGGAGTGCACAGGGCACGCGCTCTCCGCACATATGTCTTTTTTTAATAGAACTGAAATGTGCGGCCGCTCGGCGTCTATACCCAGACACCAGGAGGCCGCACATTTGCGTTCGGCCGGCACAAAGAAGTTAAATTAAAAAAAAAAAAGTTATAATCCTCCACCCACAGTGGATCCAGAGGAAGGCAAAAACCCAGCAAAGCACGATCCAATCTGCTCCTGCAGGCGAAAAAATTCCTTCCTGACCCCCGAGAGGCAATCGGATATTCCCTGGATCAACTTTCCCTATAAATGTTATATCCAGTTATATTCTGTGTATCCAAGAAAGAATCCAGGACTTTCCTACAGCAATCCACTGAGCTGGCCACAACCAACCCTGGAGGGAGACTATTCCACATTCTCACAGCTCTTACTGTGAAGAAACCTTTCCGTGTTTGGAGATGACATTTCTTTTCCTTCACGTGCCTTGTAAATCCATTTTTCAATGAAAATATCAATAGATGTAATGATGTGCAGTGGAAAAAGTAAGTACACCCTTGGCCTCAAAAGTCGGTATTGTCTCCTTTAGCAGAAATGACTTCTTGTAGGCATTTCCCATAACCGCTAACCAGCCCGAGGGGTAGTTGCAGAGTGGTGCAGGGACAGTAATCACACAGAGGCCCAGAGTGCAGTAACCAATGTATTGAGGGACAACAGCCCGGCGGGGAGCTCACCCGACCATGAACGTACGGTCAATGCAGTGGAGAGTCAGCAGTCAGCTGAAGGCAGCGCTTGCCAAGAGAGGTGGAGTGTGGCCTGGTTGGTCCTACCCAATAGAGAGCTTGCGGAAAGGCAAATGTAGGCCTTGAGCTTTCCCTACTATTTTGGAACCTCTCCCTACTGCTAGAGCTGTCCATGATAGGTGGGTATGCTCTCCCTACCGCTAGACCTGTCCATGATAGGTGGGTATGCTCTCCTTACTGCTAGAGCTGTCCATGACAGATGGGTACCCTACTGCTAGAGCTGTCCATGACAGATGGGTATGCTCTCCCTACTGCTAGACCTGTCCATGACAGGTGGGTATGCTCTCCTTACTGCTAGAGCTGTCCATGACAGGTGGGTATGCTCTCCTTACTGCTAGAGCTGTCCATGACAGATGGGTATGCTCTCCCTACTGCTAGACCTGTCCATGACAGATGGGTATGCTCTCCTTACTGCTAGAGCTGTCCATGACAGATGGGTATGCTCTCCTTACTGCTAGAGCTGTCCATGACAGATGGGTATGCTCTCCCTACTGCTAGACTGTCCATGACAGATGGGTATGCTCTCCCTACTGCTAGACCTGTCCATGACAGATGGGTATGCTCTCCCTACTGCTAGACCTGTCCATGACAGATGGGTATTCTCTCCCTACTGCTAGAGCTGTCCATGACAGGTGGGTATGCTCTCCTTACTGCTAGACCTGTCCATGACAGATGGGTATGCTCTCCTTACTGCTAGACCTGTCCATGACAGGTGGGTATGCTCTCCTTACTGCTAGAACTGTCCATGACAGGTGGGTATGCTCTCCCTACCGCTAGACCTGTCCATGACAGATGGGTATGCTCTCCCTGCCGCTAGACCTGTCCATGACAAGGTGGGTATGCTCTCCCTACCGCTAGAGCTGTCCATGACAGGTGGGTATGCTCTCCCTTACTGCTAGACCTGTCCATGACAGATGGGTATGCTCTCCTTACTGCTAGACCTGTCCATGACAAGTGGGTATGCTCTCCTTACTGCTAGAGCTGTCCATGACAGGTGGGTATGCTCTCCTTACTGCTAGACCTGTCCATGACAGATGCTCTCCTTACTGCTAGACTCCTCTCCGCTAGACCTGTCCATGACAGGTGGGTATGCTCTCCCTACCGCTAGACCTGTCCATGACAGATGGGTATGCTCTCCCTACCGCTAGACCTGTCCATGACAGAGTGGGTATGCTCTCCCTACTGCTAGACCTGTCCATGACAAGTGGGTATGCTCTCCCTACCGCTAGACCTGTCCATGACAGGTGGGTATGCTCTCCCTACTGCTAGACCTGTCCATGACAGGTGGGTATGCTCTCCCTACCGCTAGAGCTGTCCATGACAGGTGGGTATGCTCTCCCTATACTAACCACTTCACATATGGGCAGCACAGTGGCTAAATGGTTAGCACTTCCGCCTGGCAGTACTCGGGTTGTTGGTTCAAATCCCAACCATGGCACCACCTGCCTGGAGTTTGCATGTTCTCACTGTGCCTGCGTGGGTTTCCTCCAGGTACTTTGGTTTCCTCCCACACTCCAAAGACATGTTGGTAGGTTAATTGGCTCCTGTCTAAATTGTCCCTAGTATGTGTATGTATGAATGTGAGTTAGGGACCTTAGATTGTACACTCCTCGGGGGCGGGGACTGATGGGAATGTACAATATATATGTAAAGCGCTGTGTAAATTGACGGCGCTATATAAGTACCTGAAATAAATAAATAAAAAATAAATATGCGCACCAAAACCTGGGGCAAGGATTTAAAAAGACACTGCGTGACCCAAGATGGCTGCCAGGGTCACCTGGATGCAGCGTAGCCAATTGGAACACCGCTTCTGGGAACATGGAAGCCATAGAGCAACTGAGTTTTCCTCCAGCTGCAGTAGCGCTCCGTACAAGCGCCACCTACAGTGGAGAAAATAGACTGCAACTGCCTACAAGCCTCAGATTTGTGACCACTCCTGCCTGGTTTGTGGGTTTCCTTGCATGAACTGCCCATTTCAAATCACCCCACAATGTTCCAATGGGCTTCAAATCTAGGCTTTGACTAGGCCGGCCTCTCTTTAGTCTGTTCTGAGCCATTCTTGGGTGGGTTTGCTAGGATGCTGTGGATCACTATCAAATTAAAAGCTCCATTTCAGCTTAACATTCGTACAGATAGCTGCACATTTTAATGGCGCACACATTGTTTCCATGACTACGAGCTACTTAGGTCCTAAAGCAGCAAAGCAACACCAAACCATTACTGTTCCACCACCATGCTTCACAATTGGTATTAGGTTCTGCAAAAATGCAGTCTTTGGTTGGTTTGGTTGATTTGATGACTTCGAGCTACTTAGGTCCTAAAGCAGCAAAAGCAACACCAAACCATTACTATTCCACCACCATACTTCACAATTGGTATTAGGTTCTGCAAAAATGCAGTCTTTGGTTGGGGTTGGTTTGGTTTGGTTGATTCGATGACTTTGACCTACTTAGGTCCTAAAGCAACACCAAACCATTACTATTCCACCAACATACTTCACAATTGGTATTAGGTTCTCCAAAAATGAAGTCTTTGATTGGGGCCAAACATGTTTACTGTTTCTGTGGCAAAGCAAGTCTTGACTCATTAGTCCACAGCACATTGTTCCATAAGATCTGGTCTTTGCTTGTATGTTCAATGGCTTAATTGTTCCTTTTTGGACAGAAAAGGCTTCTCTCTGGCACATCACCTATCCAGGGAGCCTCCTGGCCTGTCTAGGGGGTCTCTGATCCTGGGAGGCAGGGCGGAATTTAGGATCATGTGACCACCGTGATTGACTGTCGCATGATGGGAAGCCTCCAATCGCATGTAGTGATCAGGAGCTTTCGATTAGGCGCCAGTAACTATCCCGGGAGTGCACACTCTCAGCACAGGTTTGCTTACATTTTGGTACGCATGTATGTGGCCTCCCGGCATCAAGGCCCATCTGCCAGGAGGCTAAATTGGTGCAATCTCTTTATGATTGTAGATACGGGAACTTTGACATCATCTCTCCTCAGCGTTACCCATAGATCCAGCAGTGACATGTTGGGACTTCTTTTAGCATCAGTCAGCTCTTGGGTTGAATTTACTAGGCAGTCCAATCCTGGACAAGTTAGCAGCTGTTTGAAATGTTCACCAGACTCGTAGGCTTCCACCACTTTCTTGGAGAACTCCATTGACCTTGACAACGTACATGTCAACAGCAAAGAGAACATCAGACCCCAGATAGCCGATATTTACATAGGATGGGTTCCACCTGCATACTCCCTAAGGAGGTTCTAGTCATTGGTATCTAATCTGGAACAGGGGCGGACTGACCATTTGGAAACTCGGGCACTGCCCGAGGGCCCGGGGTTAGTAGGGGGCCCCATGAGATGCCCCTGGTACCTTTTTCATAGGCTTTTTTGAGTTTGGGCAAGGACATAGGGACCCCATGATCCCCTGGGGTCAGTAGGGGGCCCAATGAGATGCCCCTGGTACCTTTTTCATAGGCTTTTTTGAGTTTGGGCAAGGACATAGGGACCCCATGATCCCCTGGGGTCAGTAGGGGGCCCAATGAGATGCCCCTGGTACCTTTTTCGAAGGCTTTTTTGAGTTTGGGCAAGGACACAGGGGCCCTATGATCCCCTATTGCCCGGGGGCCCCATGAGTTGTCACTCCTCCCCTGATCTGGAACACTCAGTTCTAGGATCTGGAGAGGTGGTCAATGTAGGGGGTGTACATACTTTTTCTATCTGCATTTTTGTTCACTTAGTTTGGGAGAATGAACACCATGCCAGTTTTATGTGTCGTTTGGTTAAGTATATCCTCGTCTGTAGGCACCATAGAAATGAAGATCTAATGTTTGCCGGTTCAAATATGTTAAAAAAAGTCAACAATCTCCCATGGGGTGTACTTTTTTT